GTGACGAATTCTTTGACATTCAGATTTTATACTCGAGCATAATTTATATCGAAATATAGTTATAAGAATCCTGTCATTTTTTAGAGAGTTCTTATTTGAAATGGAAAATATACCAATAAGTCATAAGAAGTTATTTCGTAAACTATGTACTAACTAATGCAACATTTTATCCATGCATAATCGTTATCTTAGTAGAATACAAATGCTGTAAGAAAAACAAGGTTAAATAAGGTTTAATCATGTTACATGTAAGCAAAATATAACCTTACATTGCGTAGCATTGTTTCAGCAGCACTCATGTTGAAGTTTCGAGCTATAAAGATAGAGTATTTAGTAAACAAAATTTAATTTAAATAAAAGTTTAGTTTAATAATTCAACTGAGTTTATCAAAAGAGCATATATTTTACCTCTCAAGAACCGTATAAACATGTTATCGTCGGCAAACATTTCTTGATCCATTTCACCATCCAGTCTACGTTTCAACTGAAAATAATAAAATGCTATCTTGTTAGAAAACTTAGAAGCAAAAGTTTGATGAATAGTTTGAAATACTGATGTTCTTTTTTAATGGACAGAACTGATTATCTCTCGAAATACTTCAATATGAAGTTGATTACAGATGATGTTCATACATTTTTGCAACGATTGTGAATTTAATAATTGAATTTAAATATTAAATTTAAAATACTGACATCAAATTGGTATAAGGTTTAGTTATCATCAGCAGCATTAAAAATATTCTTTTCTTTAAAATATCGCAGAAAAATAAACAGTGGGCTGAATGCTAGACTTTTGCACTGTCCAAAGAGAAATTCTGTTATTCAATTATTAAAGAAAGATATGAAAAGCATGGTTTTAACATTTAAACACGTAAAATAAGTGACATAATTAATATGAATGGAAAGAAACGTCAAAGTTTACATCTGACTGGGAGCATACTCAACATACTCAAGAAATGTACGTACAGCTCTTATTAAATCTAAAGTCGCATCTCATGTTTTAAAGGAAAATCCAGCCCTCCAAAGAGATATTGCAAAACCTTTAAATATCTCTGTAGGAACTGTGAGCAAAATTATAAAGTCTGATTTAAAGCTTTTGAAAACAGCAACAAAAAAAAATGATATTTATCGTTTAACGCCGAAACATATTTCTCAGAGTGAGACTATGTGTAGATCGCTGTATGAAAATTATTTGGCAAGAGAAGATGGAAATATGTAAACACATTTGATGAGGCTTGGATACCCTTATCCGACTGCAAAAAAAAAAAAAAAAAAAGATCGATTGATCGATTTACTACCGAAAAAGAGGAGAATAAAGACTTAATAAGTTTGTTCAGAGAAAACAAGGAGAGTTTTTCTAAAGATTTTATGGTTATTACTGGATTCTCTTATAACGGAAAGCTTCAAATAAGGAAAGTAGAAAAAGATGTCAAAATTAATTAGGATTACTATCAGATATATGTTTTAACATTTGATTTCAAAGAAGAAATTCCATTCCTTTATCCAAACAATCTTCACCGTGTTAAGTTTCATCAGGATAAGACTCCAAGCGATACCTTTAAACCTACTGCTTAATTTTCTGAAAAAAATGAGAATTGAAACCGAAAAATCCCTTTAAATGCATTCCACCCAAGTTTCCTGATGTGTTCCTTATGAATTACTGTGCATTTGGACTTTTAGAACAAGCTCTTTATAAGCGGTATCCCAAAAAGTAAAATACTTTTATCTTTTTCGCATCAGCGTGTTGCTATTCATTAAAGCTTAAGATAATTTCAAATTTATTCTGAAAGGTAATAATAAACTAAGTGATTTAAAAGTAATGAACACAATTCTTAAGAATAATTTTTCTATTTTTTAATGCGATTGATTTAAATAAACGTGAATTAAAATTATGATATGCATACTTTTTATGGCGACTATTTTAGGCGGCTATCCGTGCGAGTGGCTAGTTTTTAAAGACGTAATATAAAGAATATAAAAATATGTATGGCAATCTCTAACGTTATATCGTTATAACAAGAATTCTAAAGATATACTGTTTTTGAATATTTTGTGATTTTCTGTTGAATTTGATTTTATGCGGCGTAAATGCGAAAAACGTAGTATTTGTTAACACATAAAAAGTTAATAATAAAAAAAGCGAAAACATTTTTTGTTAGCCATCTTACTAAGAAAATTTAACATTGATATGATGAACTGAGAAGACTGAAAAAATACAAAAATGCATACGAACACTTAACACTGCATCGGGAATTCTAAACGTATTAGAGCAGACTAGTAGTTGCTAGAGCAGACTAATAGACTATGACTTCAGAGAGAGTGTAAAAAAACTTAACAAACCCTTTGGACTAACATTAAAATCTGAAACCTTTTAGAATTTTTTTTAATTATATATATTCTAAAATTTAAAAACGTGATTCATGTTTTTTATTTAAAATATTAAATTACCAAGAAGATCAAATGGCCACGGAAAATTATTTATTTAAAGTATAGTTCAAATCATTATTCTAAAGTATTTACGTGCTCACTACTATGGCATAATTACTTCAGCTGAACAATTTTCTACGCAAGAAGTTTCATATGTTATATTAGAAAAAGTCTGCAAAATCCTTAGTAATCAGGACTTTCCAAAATACCAAACCAGAAGGACTCTTTTTGGAGGATTTGTTTCGCCACTCAGCTCAACATGAACAAAACGGAATTAAAACATATGGCGGTTCCATTCGATTATAAAAACTAATTTTAAAACTCTCTGAGCGGCCAGGGTTTTCGCTAAGAAAGCACAGATTTCCCAAAACTACTATGAGAACAAACTATTTTTTTAAAACTAGAATAGAAGAGAAAAACGCCAATGTGACAATCAAAATCGCAATAACAACCTTGTATTTAGCATAAGTATATTAAAACAATCAATTTTGAGGGCAGCTAAAGGTCTCTCCTCATCAGGAGAACGAAAAGAGTAGATGAGGTGTTGGATTGGTCTGCTCATTCCCCATCCTATTCCGTTCATTCGCTTTAGATTGCTTGCTATTTTGGAGGTCTTGCTTTTAATCTAGTCTAGATAGTCTATAAAGTTAGGTTTTTTTTTATCAATGATGACACCCAGGTATTTTAGGGAGTTAATTTTTATTTTAATTCAATTTCGAATCTTCGAAGTCTTGTTATCTTTTGTGAGGATTTGTGGATAATTAAGGCACGTGATATTTCTTGAGAAATTATTAGTTTTCGTTGTTTGCAAAGAGAGTTAAAAATTTAGACTACTTCCATAAAACGGCCGAATGATTTAGTTCTGAATATTATTTTTTTATCAGAGTATAATTACAAATTTTAAAAACCTTTGGCGGCACTCAAGTGCCGCGGCACAGTAGTTGAGAATCACTGGTGTAGAGGTTTCAAAGTCTAAACTATTAAACTCTCCAGTTACACGTGTTCTTCTTTTAATTGTGAGTAAACTACTCCACCATTTTTAGTCAGTGAACGCTTTTGCCACCACTGAATAATTGCGTTTCATTGTGGGTCAACAATCAACGATCAACAAATTGGTAATAAAGGGTACTTAGGCCTTTCTATCCCTACACCATCAAAAGATAAGAAATTATTGCATCTATGAGAGTTCCGCAAATATGTAAAATATGAGTCCAAGTAAAATGGCAAAGAATTTCAAAGATTCTGCCTGCATGTCTTATATATTCAAGGAAGTTACCTGAAAATTTACTATCTAACTAAATGTTATTGGTTCTAAATGTCTTATATGTTTTATACTTGAAGGGTCCTTTCTTATGGAAAGTCTCAAGTTTTGGACAACTCATTCACAATTGTTCTTCCTTACTTGCATGTTGATTAAGAAATTATATTTCCTTTTTTATATTCATGTTATTATTCATTGCCTTATTACAGTGTAGAACTTATCAATACAGAAGATCCTAATCTAAGCAGGAAACTAGACAAATTATTTATAAAGTTCTGAAACAGTTTCCTTATTCATTTAAAAGGACCGACTTTAGGTATCTATGTTTGAAGATCAAGGAAATACCGTATTTACTTGCATATTTCGCCTTCACTCGTGATCCCCCTCAGAGGTTTTAGCATATGATTTAGAAACTTCTGGTTTGTGATAACAATATAAAATGTGAGCACAAATAAGGAAGTATTTTGTGTAAGTAAAATGAAAATTATTGGAAGTTATAAGTCCTTTGAAAAACAAAATATAATAATATTAGTGGATCTGTATGTGAGATTTTTAGTATGCTATGTTTACTATTAAAGCCGTCTTTTCAGTGATAGTACATACCGCGTATTTTTCCCTTCCCAGATTGCAGCTGTAAAAGTAGTAGGAAAAGAGGAGAAAATATGCAAATAAGTACGGTAATATTTCAGATGAAGCAAACAAGGAATTTCTCTAAAAACATTTTGTTTTTGTATCTGTACAGACTAAGTTAAAAAAAAATATCAGATATACATGTTTTCTAAATATGAACTGAGATTTTTCCCCCTGCTAGCCTAAAATAAAATATATCGCTATCAGTATACGCGGCATAAATAAAAAAATAAATATTAATTAAAAAAATATCTTTTATTATAAGGTTTGGTTATAAATTAAAAAAAAAATCTGAAAGCTTCCAGATTTCATATTACGCCCAAAAGAACTTTTTTTAACCTTTTGTGTGTTACCTTTATTTATTAAATATCATGTTCTTCACACTTAAGACATAAAATTCAATTCAACAGCAATATCTAAAAATAATTTTAAAATGAGCATATCTTTAGACTTTCCGATACACAGTCTCGAGCGCTAGAGATAAAAATGATTTTTTTTTCCCGTGCAGTTTTGCCATTGTTCGCTTTAAAATCGTTGAGTTTGTTAATCAAAAATTCGTTGAAGTGTTACAAAATATGAAATCGATAATAAAACAAATTTCAAATTCCAAATTAAGCCTTCCGTATGCCCATATTCGGAGAAGGATTGTGTTTTTATGGCCTTTGTTTTATTACAATGCTAGAAATATACGTATATTTATGCAGATTCTTCATTATTTAATTTCTTTAAATACAATACAGGGCTCTAATATTTGGTGGCAACAATTTAAAAAGAGATTCGCCGTTTATAGTGATTCGAAGCAAAATGCCAAAACGAAATTAATATCCCTTCTGGGCAAATTGCCCCTTTGGGCTAACAAATAAAAATTCAAGCAGTTAGACATTGGGTTGTCGAGAAAATTTTTTCGGTTTGCCCAAAGATAGCGTTATGTTCGTTTGGTTATTCTTCAGTCAGTCTTATTTTTTCTTCTGAGATTTGAAAACTGACATTTTTAGGTTGCTATAGAAACAAATAGAAACAAACGTATTTGTGTTTACAACTGTTATTTTAAGGTCAGTTTTAACATGGGGAGCAAAAATAAACTTTTTCGACATATATTACTTTTAATTTTCATAAAGACAAGAAAACGATTGATGCTCACAAATAGATAAGCGATGTTTATATAGTGCTGATTGCTTAACAGAACGTATGTGCCAGGATTGGTTTAACAGATTTTGTTCTGGAGATTCTTTACCTAAAGATAACCAACGCTTGGCTGACCTTCTGAAGTTCATGATGACAAAGTTAAAGCCATAATTGAATCGAATTATCATATAACTGTGCAAGAGATTGAAAAAAGATTAAATGTATCACACACAACAATTGAAAATCACATATGCCTTGGACTCGTTAAGAAGTTCCATATTAGGGTTCCGCATTAATTGAAAGAAATTCATTCAACACAATCAATATTTGTGATACGCATTTCAAACGTAACGCAATCGACCCGTAACGCAAACGTAACGCAATCGATAATTCGTTTCGTTCATTGATGGACGAAACATGGATCCTCAACAATAACCATTAATCGAAAAAGATCATGGTCTAAGCATGATGAGTCAGCACAAATCATATCGAAAGCTAAAACGGCATTAGGAAAAGGTCATACTGTCAATTTGGTGGGATTATAAAGGTGTTATGTATTTTGAGCTGCTTCCAAGGAACCAAACGATCAACTTAGATGTTTACTGCCAACAATTTATGAAATTGGAGGAAGCAATCAATGAGAAAAGGCCAGAATTGACAAACCGCAAAGGAATCGTAAAGGAACTCCACGACAAAGCGAGACCTCACATATGTTTAGCAACACTTACGAAATTATTGGAGCTTGGCCCGGAAAGTGATATCAAATTCCCCATATAGCTCTTTCCACCTTCGGATTATCATTTATTTCGGAGTTTACAAAACTTCATAAATGGTAAAAGTTTCTGTAAACCAATGACCTCAAACTGCACTTAAATGGAGTTTCTGCGGACAAAGACCCGAAGTTCTGTGAGCGCGGAATCATGAAGATGGCAATAGATCATCGAACAGAATAAGATATTTGAATGATTAAAAATTCATTTTTCACATAGAAAAAGTTGAATTTTATTTCACACTAAAAACGAAGTTACTTTCTTGCCAACCCTATATTTCGGTTAAATATTTCGGATTTATCCGAAGAGAACAAATGCTGATATTTATTTAGGAATAGTAAACTTCAGATGCTTCACTGATTTTTAAAACTGCAGTACATAAGGTATACAGAGGAAATATTCTGAAATATGTGTAATATTACTAACATATTCATCCAAAAAAGGTAAAGTAATGTAATAAAAATTAAAGACCATTCTTACTTCTTGAATTGCCTCTTGCTCCTCCACTGTATATTCTTCCGGAGACATCTTGGAATTTTGTTTCTTATTAACTTTGCAACTATAAACGAAATTTTGAACAGAAGTTGAGTGATTGAAGCGAATCCATTTTCCCATGCAAATTGAATTAATATATCAAATACGTTTAGTTTTACATATTTAGAACTGGTGTTAATATTTTTTTGCTAAAGACCATTTTCAGAATTACTGTTACTTATTATACTGCAAAGGTGCGGAATGAGTTGATTACATTTTTCTGGTACTAATGTTCCTGTTCGTATATTACTGTTTAGGTAAGAAGGAAACATCTGCGAGTATCAGGTTGTATCAGCTTTTACGTATTATTCTAAGCGTCTGAGAAAATGTGCTTTCGATTCGTAATTTGATATCTCGCTCCAAGTACCTCTCTTATATTTATTTGCATTAAAAAAAAAAACCTACCTTTCGATACATCTGATTCAAAGTGACAAAATAGCGTAGTGTTTGTACGTAATTCGAAATCTTGTCATAATGATGGAGATCGAAATCCAGAAAAGGGATTAATTTGCTTTGCCTATGCATAGTATCTGCTGTCCTATATTTTGAATGATTTATTGCATCATTTGAAGTATTGTTTCACTGTATATAAAATTAGGGACACTTTATTGATATTCGACGAATCTTTGCGCAGATATATGGATATGGGTGTGGTGAAATGCGGTGGGCATCCATTGTTCAACCACAGGCAATGTGGTTATTGCCAGTCGCCTTCACAGGACCCACAAAGGGTTCCTGCCAGGCGTTGCTTTGTTTTATGTTGTGTTTCTTAAGCTTCGTGTATCTTATGAACAGGAGGTTCATTATGCTTATGATTTCCTTTCACAGATATTTGTTCTTGATAGCATATCTTAGAAAAGGGTTGCATTACGCGATATAGCCAATTACGTTAACATATTTAATTTTCTCCAGTAACATTCCAATGTAAAAAGTATTTTAATGATTTATGACAAAACGGAAGGTGGCGTAAGATTTACATATTCATATTCTTCAGTAACACATAAAAAGTCAGGCGTTTTTATTTTGTAAATTTTTTCACAAGTGTTACTTTTATTAAATTATCAGTTATTAATTTTTATCTCGTCTCATAGTGTTCCAAAAAATGCTCACACATTTCTTAATTTTTCTCGAATCGCTCTTCATTTTAGGATAAATAAAAATTATCTTTTACTTAAATGGTTTTATTAAAAACAAAATTTAAAATATGCGCTAAATGAGAAATACATTTAGAAGCTGAGATTTTAAATATACGCCTATATGTGTTAAGAAAATGCATGAGAAATTAAATAAACTGAACATACAGTTAAAATCTGTGAAACTTAAAAGTTCATGTTTTCAACATAATTAGCAAAAACTATTTCAGTAAGCATTCAATTTATGTTTTCGTTTTTCAGAATTTTTTAAAATTAAAGTGAGTATAGAGGGGGAGGCTTATTTTTAAAGTTATCATAGGCAAAACTCTAACTAGAGAATGATAAATTGTTTGCAGAGAATTCGGGATATTGCTTTCAGAACCAAATTAAGGTACCACTGAAATTGAAACAAACGCGTACTTTTAATAAACCATTTTTTGGACCTAAGCGAAATTAATGTTCCCAAAGTTTTAAGTTAAGTCGTTTAAAGTTTCTTCAGGTAATGTTTTTCGAAAGATTCGGATAACGGAAAATGAAAAAAAAATTCCAACTTTTGTATTTCGAATATGTTTTAGAATTCGGGGATTGCGAAGATTTGAATATCTTATTCTTACTTAATCACATAACATTAAAAGAATCGTTAAAAGAAAGATTCGTGGAGGACTGTGATGGGAGCTGTCTCGTAATCACATTTTGTAGTTGTACGTATAAATACATTCTTCTCCAAAACTTTTAAAATAAACTACAGTCATAGATTAACTGAGGATGAGCAATGACGAAATACGAACTTATAGAATGTATCTAAATAAATAAAATCTGCCTAAAATGTCTTACTAATTTATCACATCTTGTTATTTCAATACAAGAGTAACATTTTATATAAGAATGATCTAAAGAATCGGAAGCATTTCTTACCAAAATATGTTTTCTCTATTGAAATAGAAAGGTATATTTCATATCATTATAAATAACGGAAATTATTTCAAATCAGTAATTAATGTTTTGCTAATTTTCAAAGTTAACATGCTCTGCGCATGTTTTTCTTAAACCTTCTTTAATTAATTTGGTGTGAGAAAAATAAAATCAACGTTGATTTTATTTCAACAAAAATAAATAATTTCCCTTGAATGTCTCCAAAACATTCTGATTTATAATATGCTCTTCAGAATTAATGACTATTGCATGATGTGTGGTTATGTCTTTAAAATGTTTTATCAAAATACTTCTAGTTTTTATTACAATATTAAATATAATATACAGATGACTTTGATAATGAAGAGATTTACTTCACATGAAATAACAAAACAAAATTCCGTCTCCGATCTTATTCTAATAAAATAATCTTAGTAATTTCACAATAATTGTATCAGTGTCATTATGTATTTCTTATAGTTTGTTTCCTCTCTCATTTTCTGTTAGTTAGATGATGGAAAAGAACAATTTTATAAACAATTACTAATTTTCCTTGAATGTCTCCAAAACATTCTGATTTATAATATGCCCTTCAGAATGAATGACTATTACATGATGTGTAGTTATGTCCTTAAAATATTTTATCAAAATACTTCTAGTTTTTATTACAATATTAAATATAATATACAAGTAATCTTAGTAATTTCACAATAATTCTATCAATGCCATTATGTATTTCTTATAGTTTTTTTCCCTGTCTCATTTTCGGTTCATTAAATAATGGAAAAGGACAATTTTATAAACAATTACTGACTAGACTTCTGTTTATATTTATAAGCTGAAAATAGTAAACTACCTAACAATAAAAATTATTCTGTCTAAATCTAGAGAAATGAAAAACTTACCTAAGTTTATATTATAACACACTTGTATAAAACTAATCAAAAAGTTGAGATTTTACTCAATATTTATAAATACAAATGCATTCTAATATGCAATTCCTCACTTGGTACGCGTCACAACACTGAAAGAGAGAACACCTGTCAAAACATATGCTTTTATGATTCACGTACAATCAAAGAAATTAATAATGTGACATTAAAAGCATATTCTGAACTTCCTTACGGCATTCTAAGGAAACTGAAAAACAAGATGAAACAAAAGACCAGTATGATTATCAGAGTTTAGGAAAAATATTTCTCATCTAAGCATTGTCTTATACATAAGATAAACATCAATGTGTTGTTATTTAATAAATGGCTACGATCTATTATGTTCGAGGAAAATCTGGAACTTGAACGTGCATACAGGCTACAAATTTTAATTGATTGCATTGTTATTCTTTTAAGGTGGTTACGGGGTTGAGGGAAATAAGTAAATTATAGATTTCATGCAAATATAAAATAAATTGGTAACTGCTTGAAGATTTAAATTATAAAAAACTGATAGCTGCTTAGAGCATCTTTTAATGTTCTTTAAGCCTTCTGAGTGACCTTAAGAAACGTGTTTGCACGTAATCTAAAATGACGTGATTGGTTACCCAGTTTAAAGCTAACTTATAAGCTTTAATGCTGATTAGATTAATAACGAGAGTTTGCTACAAACTATATAAAATAAGATCAAAAACGTTAAAATATGTTACCATTATGTAAGTTTAAGAAACCTCAATGGATGCGTCTGACAGCTCGGAAACTATTTACAATTCAAATGTAGTTGAAATTACACTCATGTCCATAAATTAAGGATAATGCAAAATCAGGCAAAGGAAGAGTTAGAAGCAAAACAAATTGCACTTATTTGTAAAGCTTATTTATTAAACAAAAGGTAAAGAGAAAAAAAAAAAAAACATGCTATGTGTTTAATATTATTAAAAAAATTAGCGATTTTTTCTCCCTGGAGCAAATAACAAAAAAATCTATTTACAAAAAAACAATATTACATGGTTGGTATGATTGTTAATACATTGTATGTCTCCCAGACGATGCAATATAGTCCGCACAACGTCTAGGCATGCTGAGTATCAAATTATCGATCTGATCTTGGGGATATTACACCACTCAAAACGCAATGCTCTCCGAAGTTCCGGTAGACATGTAGGAGGAGGTTGACGGGCTTCAACTCGTCGGCCAAGCATGTCTCACGTGCTCTACTGGATTCAAGTCCGGTGAGAATGCTGGTCAGTCCATACGGGTGATCCATACGGGTCACCGTAGAGCAACTGCAAATGAAATTTTTAAAGTAATTGACAATTTTATGTCTGACAATGATATTCCTTGGAATAAGTGCAGTGACGGAGATCGGGCTTTAACAGAAAATCATCCAGTGTTATTTCTCAAATAAACAAAGTCGCACCTGAAACTAAATTTACTTATTGCTCCATTTATCGTGCAACTTTAGCAACCAAAACAATTCCGAAAACATGAAAATCGTTTTTAATCAAGGTGTAAAAATTATTAATTTTATTAAAAGCCAAGCTTTAAATAAAAATATTATTACGTTTTTCTTTTCTGACATCAGTTGTTGCGTTATTTTCTTCCTTCACATTCGTACGGGGTTCGTAAATTTGGAGTGAATAACGACGACACTTGATGAAGTATCGAAGCACACTTTATTTGTCAGTATTGTCAGGACAGCACCAAAGTCACGTTTTACAGTCGTCGGAAATCTACTGTATACACTCGCTGGAACAATCAGCGACTCAGCCTTCAGGTTATCAGGCTATCACGGTGGAGACAGCTTGATTGCAAAGCACCAGAATACAGCTCCCGACTCTCCTCGGTCGTTCTCCTAACTCCACGTACTCTCGAGACTCTCCCCGCTACAACTCGCGATGCACTCGACGACACACGAGCACAGATCCCGACTCTTCAGTTCAGTCGTTCCCGGAGCTCAACACGCTCTCTCGACGATGCACTAACCGCGCTACACTAACAGACTCCTTCGGTGCACTTGACGACCCACTTGGCACTCGCTGCCCGGCTGCCAACTCGATTGACTCCGCAGGGACTGATTCGCTAGACGAGACACACACTAACTCGTAACTAACTCGCCCTCTAGACGAGGCACACATACTATCAGCTCGCTAGGCGAGACACTCACTAACTGACTGCGAACCAGCAAGGTTTATATAGCTTTTGACTGGTGTTTGAGAACATTCTGGGGTAAACTGGTAAAAATTCGTTCCAGAAGGTTCTCCATCCGTCCATGGCATATCGAAAATTTTGTCGCCAATTTGGCGATTTCTCGCCAAATGTGGCAACCCGGCTTCCCTTGCCATTTTATGGCAACCCTAAAACTGCTTTGCGGGGAAGCTACCTCACCGCACCTGTAGATTTCGTAACAGTATTTAGTATTTTATGCCAAAAGATGGCCAATGAACATAAAACGCTTTTGTTACATTCCGAAGAAAGGTGGTTATCCAAAGGTAAAGTTTTAATTCACCTTTTCTGAACTTCGATTAGAAATTCAAATTTTTGTCTGTGATTCAGAATTGGAATTGCAAAAAATATAGTTTTGTAAATTATAGAGGGCGCGTTTAGCGTATTTAGCTGATATTTTTGGAAAAGTAAATGACTTAAATTTAGGAGTGCAAGGCCAAAGTGCTAATTTGTGTACCATTAGAGATAAAATAAATGCAATGATAAAAAGCTAATAATCGAAGAATTAGATAATTATAGTTTAAGCTTTTTACCACTTTTAGAAAGTTTGTAACTGAAAATAATTTGAAAATAAATGAGGGATTAGCATCCGATATTGATAAATAATTTCAACATGTATTTTCTCTATGGACTTTGGACTATTTAATTACGGCAAAGCACACGAGGGCTATCTGCCTAAAGGAGGGATGCCTTCATGGAGGACTTTCTAAGGTAACTGGCTCGTATACACGTTACACTTGGGGAAAACCAGGAAAACGCCCATGCAGCCAGCCTGTTCGCGGGATTCGAATCTCGGAACGAACTACCATGTTCAGCATCTTTACCGCTCGGCCGCTGGTAAGCCTATATTTTCCTTAAGATTCTGAAAAAGAAAATTGGATTAAAAATTCACTGTTCAAATGTACCTGAAATTTTATCTCGTGAAGGAAAAAGAACAATTGATAGGAAATTCCTATGATCGAACTCTAACTGAAGATTTCAAAATTAACACACTTGTTAACTTTTGGCTGAAACTGAAAAACGAATTGAAAGGAATTTCAAATAAAGCTATTGCCTTACAGTGTAACCCAGTCCATTAATCTATACAAGGCCAGATGTGGTGATCTCATTTTTATGGAGGCACCTAATAGATGGGCAACCATCGCCTCCTATGAAGGGACGGACAATTACAACCATCCTTCTCCGGAATTCGAAACCAGTCCCTTTTGGTATTGCAGTCAGCTTCCCTAACCACTATACCGACTGGGTGGGTTTTAGAATTAAAGTATTATGACTTAATTTTTTTTAATTAAAATGTTAACCAATTTGTAATCTAATATTCTTTTATGTGTGCATATTTTGAAACAAGTAGCCAATAGGTTGTGCTAATGGCAAAATAATTTTTTTAAATACTTCTATTGAGAAATTGAAAAATAATGATTGTAAAATGTAATAGTGTTACTCAAGTTTTTCAGTTTTTGTTTAGATGGTTACGCGTTAGTTAAAAGTTTGAGAACTGCTGATCTAAAATATTACTCTTTTTTTCTGTAGTTTTATCGTTTACGCTTAACAGTAATTTGTTCTTAAACATGATCGAAGTGTTTTCAGTCAATAAACCTATGCTTCAGGTTTTCAATAATTATATATATTTTTTAAAACTTCTGTAATTCCGAATGGAATATTTCTTTGCGAAACGTATCTTTCTACGTACGACACATTTCTTGTTATTGAGTCATTATGCGAGAAAAAAAATTGAGGGTGGAACTGAGCGAAGTCGTATTGTTATCTATATGCTGCTGAAGGCTGTTGCTAACGACAGGTTCATTCTTGCTCTCCTTGCCACGAGGAATTTCGTGGACTTGTTCTGATGTTACTGTTAGACAAGTGAGTTAACTCACAATAACACAATACAAGATAGGAACTAATTTGATTTTGAACGTTCTCCACAAAGGCCTCCATTCCGTTATATGGATAGCCTTCAAGTACTTTGCTATAACTGATGAAACTGATGAACTAATCCAGCATCTTTAACCTTTTTTTTTTTTGCATAATTTGATCTCTCAAAATGTTATATACTAAACCACTTGATTCATACCCTACGAATACGAGTTAAAAAATTAATGCATTTGTGAATACCCTATTTGCTGTTTTTAGTAAATATGTTATTGAATGATTGTTAAAGCCAGCAGTTTGAAAAGTTTAATTTTGAGTTATTTTTTGCTTTATGGAATTGTATGGTATTTGGTTAGTAATAAAAGATGAAATGTAGTTTTCTGAACATTTTAACGTAAATGAAATTAAGATCTGATATGATAATATTTATTTCAAAACAAAACAGTAAAATTACAGTAAAACAACAGTAAAATTCTATCCAGAATTAGGTACTGATTAAAGAATCAAATTAAGAGCTAAAGATTTCGTAGTTTATAGCTATTAAAGAGAGCTTTTTATTGTTTGATTGAGAAATTTTAGTTTATCTGGTTATCAACGGATACTGTGCTTTAGTACAGAGTCTTTACTTCATAGGATATAATTTATTAATAAATTATAATTATATAACTTATTAATAATATAATTTCTGATATCAAAGTGATGAAAACAAAATATTAATAAATTTCACGTAATAATTTATTTTTGAGGAAACACTAGAACTGGTAAAATGAAACTTATATTGAAGGGGTCTTTTAGTACCATTAAGAGTAGCATTCTATTTTAGATAATACTGATTTTTAGACTGAAACTTTTAAATCAAAGTTTTTCGAAATAGGTGATAAAAGGTAAAATGCAATTTCTATATATTCCTCTATTGGTGGAATGTGCATTAATAAAATAATATTGTCTCAAATTTTCAAAAATATATTTCGAGATGAAAGTGATTTCATGGATGAGAGATGGAAAGTAGTTTTG